ACAGGCTAGAATAGCTGTCTGCGGGTGGCTTCCAAATTAAAAGCAAATTTTGAATCATCGGAAAAGTACTCATTTATTTTTTTTTTATGGAATTATTCTCTAGTAGCTTGACTGCCTCAACCTTATTTGATTATATATCATTTCTATAAAAAAAGTTGCATCAAATGTCTAATTATGCCTAAAAATATTGCTAGACATTTTTTTCTGTGAGAAAGCTGAAAGGATTTTGTTTTCAAGGTTAACAACTTATGTATGTCCGGGTGTTGATTTGTCTATTCAAAAGTATCAAATGAAGCTCATATTGACTATTTTTTCGAGTGATTTACAGGCAGCACGATATTCCTATGCGATTCAATATTGACGTGGTGTTTTATTTGATTAGAGTTATTATGAGATCTATTAAATTTTTGTTGATCTAAATTATTTTGAGAATCCAAAGGAAAAGGTTTTTCAATATGTGTGATTGATGACTTGTTTATTTTGTAGTATTTCATGATCACTTTAGGAAATTAATAAACACACTTTTGTCTAATTTCAACTAGTTAATTTTATTCATACGGCTATTAGTTTCATACTTGATAGTTAAATCGAAAACCGTTCGTATAAATAAAATTAACTAGTCATTAAACTGAGAATGCTTTTTACTCGGTCGGGAAGGTGTTGGAAATCTGAATAATATATTTTCTGAGCCAGGACTGGATTCTTTGTGTGTAGATTGGTTTTAATTGAATTCTACCATTATTATAGAGATATTGCTGTTTGACTCATCTGTATTGCTAAAAAATCTGCAACGTTGATTGATGACTTGTTTATTTTGTGGTATTTCATGATCACTTTGAGGAAATTAATAAACACACTTTTGTCTAATTTCAACTAGTTAATTTTATTAATACGGCTATTAGTTTCATACTTGATAGTTAAATCGAAAACCGTTAGTATAAATAAAATTAACTAGTCATTAAACTGAGAATGCTTTTTACTCGGTCGGGAAGGTGTTGGAAATCTGAATAATATTTTTTCTGAGCCAGGACTAGATTCTTTGTGTGTAGATTGGTTTTAATTGAATTCGACCATTATTATAGAGATATTGCTGTTTGACTCATCTGTATTGCTAAAAAATCTGCAACGGCCACTGCTAGCATTTTCAACGAGAATTGTCCAGGACATGTGAAGCATAAATATGTATTGGAAGTGAATAACGAAGGCATTATTTCAATAAACTTTTTTAGAATTCTCAGTAAACATTAAGTCCTCTCTCACAAAATATGTCGTGAATTGAACGAAGATAATTTCTACAGAATTCATACTTATGAATGCGAAAGTCACTCACTTAACACTCAATTATCTCTATTATTTCTCCGTACTGATGAGTCCTAGGAAGCTAAAATTTGATATATAGGGCGTTACAACGAAAAATTGACCCCCCTGTAAGTCAGAAATTGACGTGTAATCAAGAATTTCAAAAAACACGTGAATTTTTATTTCTAGGGGGACTGATACTGATATGGAAATCATACTCCTCTGCGGTCAGCAACTACCCCCCCCCCTAGTTTTTTCAATAGCATGGGGGGTCGATTGAAGGTCTTTCATCCCTCTATTGATTCTGTGATTTTTTTTGAAATTGGTTCATTCATTATCGTGAAATTGCATGTTGCACGTTTTATTTAAAAAAAGCAGAAAATTCTCTGTCGCTCATTTTAATGAAAAAGTCAAAAAAAGTAATATCAATGGCAACAAAATCAACGGATAAACTGTTCAAACTCGCCTCCATCTAGTTCTACACAATAATACATTCTACTTTCGAAAGCGTTCCTTACAATTATTGAAGATGTCCGAAGTCAGAAATCGGCATTCCCGAACAATTCTATGTCGCAGGTCTTCTAGATTTGTATAATTTATTTAATCAGTAGTAAACGTTTTGAAATGGACGACAGTGTTAGTTTTTTTCTGAACTGGTAATTTTTGTTGAATCTAGTTGCCGCAGAACAAAAAGTAGATAGTTGGCCACTGTCACTTCTTCACGAATTATTATTCAGTCATCCTTGTTCACAGTGTTTCAACATGGTTCTTTCTACTGAAGAAATAATGGAAGTTGTTGCAACCTATTATCGAAATAATGAATGTGCTAAAGCTGCTGCAAGAATTTATAATACGAATCATCCAGACCATAACGTGAGCCATCAATACGTTAAACAGTTGATGGGTAAGTTTCGAATTTTAGGTTTTGTTCACAACAGAAAATATGAAGTATCCCGTCCTGTCAGAAATCACAGTTTCAAGACATGTACAAATGGATAATCGACAATCTATCAGAGAAGTAGCTAGAGCGTCCGGTGTATCTGCTACTAGTGTCTTTCGGATTTTGAAAGCCTACAAAGTCCCTCCTTTCAAAATAAGGGTAGTTCAGGAATTAAACGAATTCTGATCGTCGACTTCAGTTTTGTGACCTATTATACATGTTTTTCAGACGCAATTTCTTCAAAATTGAATGTTGAAGAGAATAGACATAATTGACGTTACTGGAGCGATGTGGTGACGGAACACATTCACAAACTCCACAAAAATTTAATGTCCGGGCTTGGTAATCATATTGTTGGACCACTCTTCATTGAAGGTAATCTCGATGGAGACATATACTTGAATATATCACAAGACTGTATAAATCCTATGATTACACAAATTTTCCAATGCGTTGGATCGGCAGAAGTTGTCCAGTGGAGTGGCCAGCTAGATCACCTCATCTCACACTAATGAACTTCTTTCTGTGGGGACACCTGAAGTCGAAAGTGTACTCCACTGAGCCTACAAATCTAGAAGACCTGCGACAGATAATTGTAAGGGAATGCCGATTGGTGACTCCGGACATCTTGAACAATGTACGGAACGCTTTCGAGAGAAGACCGTATTATTGTATAGAACTAAGTGGAGGTTATTTTGAACAATTTATCCGTTGATTTGATATCCACTGATATTATTTGTTGTTAATTCCCTCATTAAACTGACCAACAGTGAGTTTTCTGTTTTTTCTCAATAAAACGTTCAACATTTAATTTCTCAATAACGAATGAACCAATTTCGAATTGATGTATCACTCGATTCCCCATGCCATTGAAAAAAAAGGGGGGTAGTTATAGTACATTCATCCGGGAAATATGTGTCGAATAACAATGCTGGATTACGGTTGACGTGTTCAGTGAGGATCTTACAATATTAAATTACTAGCGATAAGGCCTGGCTCGACACAGATGCAATGCTGATATTAAATTAATATACTACAGAATATCTTTATATGAGTCGTTCACAGCTTTTTTGTCAGTGAAAATTCAAACATATATTCTTTGGAGGTTATTCTTGAAAGCGACATATAAAAGGCCCGGTACCACCGCAATCGCTATGTCCCTGCATTTCAAATCTGTAACATCTTCGAAAATATTTATTCAAATTACATGCTGTGAGAGGCCGTGTTGATCACATTATGAACCTATAAGATAAATATAATAGAGATAATTTTATAAACGAGCCTTTTTCCCCGCGGCTGGCGCCTCACTCAGAATATTTTAAATTCCTTTTTTATTGCACATTCGGACTACAAAATAAACCTACATACAAAATTTCAGCTTTCGAAAATATACTGGAATGGAGAAAGAGTGATCAAAAAATAATTTTGTGTTATGGATGCGCCTTGTTGAACTATTTGAAAATCCTTTCTCATGGCACCTCTATAAAATGAAATGAACCCACATACAAAATTTCAACCTCTAAAAATACACTAATTTGGAGAAACAGTGATGAAAAGGTGAATTTATTTTATGAACGTGACTTTCTTCCCCGCGGCAGGGGCCCAGTTGGAATATTTAAAAATCCTTTCTTATTGCACATCTATAATATGAAATGAAACTATATAGAAAATTTCAGCCTTCGAAAATATACCGGTAACTTTATTTAATGAACGCGCCTGTTACGCTCGCGGCAGGCGCTCACTTGACCCCCCCTGTTATGCAGAATCGGACATGTGTGACATGAATGAGAATTTCGAAAAATCCTTCAATTTTTATTTCTAGGGGGACTAATTCTGATATGAGAATCATATCCGAATGGGTAAATAATTTGTTGAAATTTCTCATATTAGAATGATTTGAACCATTCTTATCAGAAGCAATACATTTTGCTGAATTATCAAGCTAAGCATCTATTACAAAGTGGGGTAGTTTTCAACAATCTAGGCCATCTTATCAATGTGTGTTACAAGTGAGACAGTTGTCGATGGGGGTCGATGAATTTTGGGAAGACGTTCTACAAAATGGTCACCCAGAGCCCCCGATTTGACTTCATTGAACTTTTTTGTGGAAATAATAATATCCACAAAATGCAACCACAGATGCAACCAACTACAGTAAATAATTTACGGAAAGAAACTACCAGATGCTGCAGACTACCAACATCTGATATTCTCTAAAATGTATGGGAAGAAAAGGATGCTCGTTTATACCATTGTATGCAAGTTTATGGTGCTCAGTTCGAAATCATGGTGTTAGGAAAAAAATATTTCGAAATATTAATCTCTTTCAACTACCTACTCAATAGGGTGTAGTAGGCTGTCGAATATAATTCAATATTCAGCATGATATAAGCTGAGAAAATAGTTATTTTTCGACAGACGTTTACCACACCCTACTGTGTAGATAGATGGGAAAGTTAATATTTTAAAATTTCAATTTCCTTATGCGTATGTATCTCTCCTCGATAGTTTTCACTTTCAATTTCATAGTATTTCATTTTTTTCTGACATGACTTATCGTTGTAATGTATTGTTATCACTCGACTTTTATTTTCATTTGAAATTTTTGATGGTTATTTTGTGAAGGGGTGTTTGCCAATGTGCCCCACTCACAACCAAAATTGACATGTTTCACGATTTTCCTACAGCCTCAATATCAAGTCACTTATTCAGAGTGGCTCGTACCTACTGCACTGAATGTTCTATATTAGAATTTTTTTAGGTACCTTCAAAATGTATGAAATGGAACTTCAAGCCTGCAACAATAATATAGGAGAAAAAAACTTCGAACTGACTGAAATCCAAGAGTTCTACAATGATGCCAACATTTTCATCACAGGAAGCACTGGGTTTCTGGGAAAAATTCTTCTAGAAAAATTACTTCGATCGTGTCCGCACATATCCACACTTTACCTTCTTGTCAGGAACAAGAAGGGAAATGATATGGATACAAGAGTCAACCAGATATTCGATGACAATATTTTCGATTTGATGAAGAAAGAACGTCCCAAATTCAGGCACAAAATTGTTGGAATTTCTGGTGACTGTTCTCTACCAGATTTGGGCCTTTCTATGCAAGATCGAAAGCTGCTCATGGATGAGGTATGTTTTTAGAACATGTAAAGATGGGTGGAATCAGCTATGTTCCTACATTTCTGTATTTTGAAATAAATTCAACAAAAATATATATAATCGGACAAATTTCGGATATGCAGTTGGTTAGTATCTCGTCCACTAGATGGAGTGACATTTTTGTTGTTCGCTCCAACTTAAGACGAGGAATGAAATACTCTGAAAGATTTTCGATTTTCAATTATGGAATATCATTGACTTCAGGTCGATGATGGTCACTCTCTTGCACTGATGAGTGGCTAAGTGGCCCGAAACCGGTCTGCAAGTGTGCCCGTTCCAAAATTGAAGGTCTACTTTTTCAGTTGTATTGCCAATTGCATAGGCAGGAAATTTTCTGTTAAGATTCCTGCACTGACGCCTGTCGGATACAATCCAACGCCGTTCGTGGTATTAGCCAGTTTAGTAGTTGTTTTCTGATAGGTGTCAGTCCATTAAACCTACTGTGTAAGTATATACGAGACTGGCTTGAATATTTAAAGTTCATTTCTTGACTGTTTAGGAATGTTTCTTGACGACCTTGAATGTTTTGGGATATTCTAAAATGTTTTGGAACCCTTTTGAATACTGTCGAATGCACAGAATTAATCTGCAATTCTGTAGAGAGTAAAACTTCCAGCCTCATATCTTCAAAAATACGCCCTCCACATAAAAATGATTTATGGAACCGAATCTGTTCGTATACCATTCAGTTGTTCTGATTGGCCTGACAGTGACAGGGGTGTCACACTGTATATGAAGATAACACTTGTGACAAAACAGATATAGAAGTTATTTTCAGTACCTTTGTTTCACTTTCTCGGAATAATTAACCATAACCTTGAATATGTGAAAATATGATGTAGCTAATTATTGTTTTTTACTTCATTTGGATAGATACCAACTCTATCAGTTGGTGAAATTAAGATTATATTTTCTTCAAGGTTGAAAGTACGTAAATACTAACAGCGAAACTTACTATACAGTTACTATAGAAAGTTAATAAAAATAACTGCGTCCACGCAGTTGTTTTAATTAAGTATTTTTCTTGGTTATTCACACAATTGGGAAGTCATATGCCGACCTAGCTGGTACCCGAATTGATTCTCGAGAGTGTGATTCATCCTATCTTTCAAGCGAAAGTGTCTACTCAAGAGAATTTTATCGATGGCCCAGTTCTGAAACAATTATTTGTTGCGTGCCCCCAGAGCTGATATTTATAGCACTGAACCAGTATTCGGCTGTTGTTGCGTAGTTCCCATCTCACCCTGGTATTCAGAACAGATATTACATTCCGCTTTAGAAAATTGAGGGTGGCCCCTTTGTCCATGACGACCATGTATAGTGGACACTTTTCTGTCATCAACCTATACACGGCCGAAATGTTGAGTCTTCGCTTTATCTGGAGGCCCTCCTCAATTTTCTCTATTTTTGGGGCAAAGTCCAGCCTCCGGAGAACAAAGACGTGTATTTTTTCCTACGGACGGGTATATGTAAGATGTATGAAATTTCGCATTGGCACCCTTCATTGTGTTTACAATAGAGAAATAGAGAAATGTTGAGTCTTCGCTCTATCTGGAGGCCCTCCTCAATTTTCTCTATTTTTGGTGCAAAGTCCAGCCTCCGGAGAACAAAAACGTGTATTTTTTCCTACGGACGGGTATATGTGAGATGTATGAAATTCCGCATTGGCACCCTTCATTGTGTTTACAATAGAGAAATGGCATTTGCGTGGACCAAGGTATGAACCAAGGTAGACTTCCCAGTGTATTTAACTGAGATGTCTTTCTCCAATTGTTTTTTCAAGTTCTGTATGAGGTTCCTATTCATCGGTATTGTTTCCTGAATAACAATTGGAGGAAGTCTTTTCGCTTTCGGTCTTCTTGACTTCCTCACATCAGCTGCTGATGACACTTGGGGGCCTGTCTTTTTTCCTGTGTGTTCATCCTGGGCGTTTCAGAAGTGCAGCAGCCTTCTTTGGCCTCTCGATTTCCGTTTGGTCTCCGGTACATATAAGTCGTGATAGTATTTTCTCAACACCTCCATCTGACTTTCCCTCATAATTGTTATAGTGAAGTCCTTGAGTCCATCTTGGCCTTCCAGTAAATACTGACTATACTGTTCACCTTGACCATAATTTCCCTCTTGATGCTTTTAATTTTTTGAATGTCATAGAAGGATTCAAAAGGGTTATCTGGGTTTGCTGGAGGGTCTGTCTTCTGTGGTGAGATATTCAGAGACTCAAAAGCCTTCTGGTTCTTCTTTTTTCCTATTTCTATGCATGGAATCCACCTTCTCTTTACTGAAGGATTTTGTATTTTTTCCTGCCTCAGGCTTTTTTTAGGAGGGGGTTTTACTTTCTCAGTTTTTCTTTCTTCGTTCGAAAAATTGATTTTATTTCTGACGTTTTCTTTGAGGAGATCATTTTGACTAGGTCTTCAATATAGACACCTTCATTTTCACCAGTTCTGGGCTTTCTCTCGTAACTAGGCTTATCTGTTGAGGCAGTTTCCTGCTGATTCATTTTTGGTGTTGTTTCATCAGGTAATAGTATCATTTTGTTCATCTCTCTTTGCTGCTGAATTGTAACATTCGAAAGAACAAACGGCGCTTCCTTATTGGTCACATCCGGGATATCGGTGACGTCCATTTCGATCTGCTGTGTTTCAGCTTCCTCCCGACCTAGAATTGGTGGTGATGTTGACGGTGGTAGTGAAGGTGCAGACTGTATAGTAGCTTCCACAAGATTGGTGGTTGTGTTGTTATCAGATTGTCTGCACAGCCTGTGGTTGCTTTATCCATTCTGTAGGCTGCGATCCATCCCCACTATGTGGCTTCTTCACGCCCACTACAGAATTGCTGTCGCTGTTCTCCAGGTCTGTGTCCATCCTTATATTGTCGTTTTGTCTTAGTCTTCTTTGGCTTGGTTACTTGCATAAACCCACATGTTTCGTCCCTCCTCCGTTTCATAACTAGAAACAAATTTGGGTGCAGAGTTATCTGTTTTTGATTCGAGTCCAAACTAATTGATACCATTTTTTCACTTCTTTTTGTTCCAGACGCACCTTGAGAAAACCTTGGTTTGTTAAAGTGTTTGCGTAGCAACTGAATTTTCGGATATATCTTTTTCTTCTTTTTAACTTGTTCACTTAGCCCGTCTAGTGACGAAGTGTTACTCGTGGGGTTTTCCTTGTCACTTTCGGAGCTTTTGGTAGTAGCTGATTGTCGCCCTGATATAACCGGGAGAGTAGAAGCTTTTTTACCTCTGTTCTTGGCATTGACAAAAGAATTATTGCCTAATTCTTTTTTCGGGGAGGCTCCAGGGCCCGACCCCGAGGTCGGTTTTCTCTGTCTTGTGGACAGGTATAGAAACCTAGGTATAAGAACACAGGTACTTATCAGTATATGAACAGTTCAAACACATTTTCTGTAAAATTCCACACGGGCTAATCGACTGTATCGTTCAACTGCCAGCAGTAGACTTGGAAAATTTAACTCGAGACAAATCAATTGGTCTCTCTAGTAGTGTTTGAGAGGAAAATTGGCAGCATTAGATGAACACTGAAAACTCCACTCCCCAGCTTCATAGTATCTATAGCTAACTGTGTAACATTGAAGACGTCTATCCAATTTGATTTCTCACAATAGATAAAATATACTGTAGTCATATTCTTAATACAACTCGAAACATACAAAAATCAGAAATATCAGTCAGGTGGGACCAGTTTCTCAATACGAAACAGATATGTATCCATAAATGAAATGCGGAATAGCAAAAACTACTCATCAAAATCAGTTGGCATATTTTTCATTTCGTCAAAAAACTCTGATTTTCCAACAAACAACTTACGAATTCATCATCATATACAAAATTTGTTCATCAACCAAAGAGTTTCTCAACAAAATTAGATATATTCATTTCAATATAAGTGGACCACCTCGATACTGTTATCAACAAAGCCTCGATCATTATATTCAAACTACCCCAATTACCTTGGAAATAGTGTACATGGATTCATTCGAAATGTTCTGAATGTTAATGGTGTTATTATTGTGAACAATAAAGTTGATGACACTTTGTCATTCCTTTTTTGCATACTATGGATATATGACATAACAAACATCCAAAGCATAAACAATATTAAATTCTATGAAAAAAAAAAATGTATTGGATATAAGATAGAGCATTCACATATTATCGAGTCAAAGAACTAGAGTGCCATCATGTTTTGCTTAGAATGGGCAACAAGCCAACAACCTCGAAGTCTGAATTCAACGTAAAATTGCAATCTTATAATTCCACTTTCATTTATTCATTTCGACTGGATAGACATGCATATATTCATGAGATTTCATGATATTTGCAGTTGCTTCAGTGAGTTGTGGGGCTACTGGGATTATTTTGAATTTTTTAACCCCACGAAAAAAAAGGACCATATCCTTTGATCTTTACATTTCAGAAGAAAACCAATATCACGAATATCCATATGGGTCTTCATGTGGCAGCAATTAGAATAGAAAATTGTTTTTGAAATTTCACCTCAAAAGTTGCAAAATACTGAAGAAAGTATCTAATTATTCAGTAACTTGTTTGAATTGGAAGCGCTATATTTTTAGATACTCATTTGTATAAAAATGAAAAAGTAGAAAGTTAAAACCTCTTTTTCCCTAAAATTAAACTCTCCTAAAATATACCATTTTAATTTAAACAACGTTCCTATGGCTGTGATTGATTTCATTACCTACTGTCATCGATGACATGAGTGAATTCAACTCATTCGTGACATCACGTCGTAATTTTATGAATGAATTGAGTGCTTCATCTTGTAATATTATCCACATTGGTAATGAAGAGGCAATAAGACAAATGTTTTATTCCGGAACATCAGATGTCCACTATTGAGGATGACAGTGTTCCGTGTTGATGAAATTTCACTTCTTTCATATACTATATTGTGTAGCATTCCTGTAGCAAGTCCATAATGAATGTTTGA